CAAATGCTTTTACTATCACTAATCCCGGTAAGCTTGCAGCAAATTTTGATCTAAAACGGTATTTTTGGTACACAACTCGCTACTTTCGCAAAAAACCTCTACTGTCTTACTCATATTTAATTTTTCAAAATAAGAAAGGACCCACTTGCAACCCAAGGAACAGCAACCTCATCAACAGCAGTCTCTCCCGCTGGAACGACTCCCGACAAGCTCTCGGAAAAAAAGCAAGTTGGACGCCTTCTAACTAATTAACACAGTGAGCATGTCAACACCAGAAAAAATTAATAAACTATGCAGAGATCTGCATTTTCAGATTGGAAACAAAAGTTAAGACGCGGAAAATCGTATCTCACGAGCCAAAAAATTATTACAAAAGTTACTGCTGCGAAATCTTATCCACTAAAAAGCTGTAGGAATGATGCTTACTAAGTATCAATAGGCAGTTTATTGAGACACAGGAAAACGGTAACTCGCAAGGCAACAAATAATTCCTCTTTCTAAAAATGATATATTTGCAGTGCTAAAAACTGCTGAAATTTCCAAAATAAAGTAGCATTTTACAGGCTGAGCTTCTTGCATATGATTGGAAAAGCTTTTTTTGTCCATGCTTTTGTGATGAGTCGGAATCCAACATTTCAAAAGCAGCTTACTTTCTCTTTAGACGATGACGAAGCGAGCGGCGGCCGTCGTCCACCAGTAAGACCGAAACCTCCATCAATTCGATTCTGCTCTTTTTTCGCTTCTTCCGCAGCCAATCTAGCAATTTGATCGATACCAAGCATCAACGGTTTTGGTGTGATTTTCTTCTTATTCATTTGCAAATTTTAAAATTCTTTAAAAATGTTCCGAAGGATTTTGTTGGACTACAGTAAGTAGTTACAGTAAGCAAATTATTGCTAATCTTCAAATAACACTATGAATGTTATCAGTTTGAGGCAAGAGAAAGGAAAATGCAAGAAAGGAAAACGGATTGGGGAATGGAAGACGTTCAAGGCTGATGAGCTACAACACGATCTGATTGATATTCGATTCATTTACAAAACTGTCATAAACTGACGATTTGCAGCAGTCAAGAATAGTTCAGAGATAGTGATGCGAAGGCTTCGCTGCAGTAAAAGATTAATGAAAGAAGCTAGAACAGATTAATGGAAGGAGGCGGATCGCACTAGCAAAAATATGAGAATAGTAAATTAATGCTTCAGTGCTGGATGATTGAAGCGGCGCAATTTTTTTTCAAATATCCATCGAAATTCGCTGTGAAGGAGCGCAACCGGCCAAAATATGATTTCGTTCTGAATCTCCAGGAAAAAATGAACATTTTTGGCAGGATAGGAAGAAATGAGCTGCAACCAGAGGACGGTTTGCGTTGCAGAAATAACGATAGTGACGAAGACGGTGATGACAATGGTTTGCTATCTTCTTCGCCAGAAAGCTAGGTTAAGGAAGGTTGCACTCGTGCTGCTACGTTGCTGTATCAAGCAGTATTTGTTTGCCCATTTGTTGGGGTTATAAGGATATGAGTCAAATCAGGGAGTAGATGGTGTTGCCAGACGCCCAGCATATTAATATACAACATAAAGATAATAAATATGTGTATGCGTGTGTGTTTTGGGATATGTTCAAAATACGGGAGGAAGGCAAGCATAGAAAAACACGGG